TCTTTGCAGTTCTGCTTCTGCAGAATCTGAAATTCTTTGTGTTCTTAAACTTTGATTTTGAAGGAGTTATGTTTCTTGGGTGAAAGGAGCCAGCTATTCTATTATTCTGGCATAGTGTGCAAGCTGGCTGTTGAGTCATGTACTCTCAATGCTGGTAACATTCTTGAGATTTCTTGAATAGACAGTAACTGGAATAGTGCTTATCATCTGGACACGGCAGACTCAGTCTGAGCAAGTGGCATGTGTAAAACTCAGACACTTGGGTTTGGTTTTTGCATGTTTTGGATCCACAAAAAGTGGGGGGAAAATGACTTGCAAAAGGGCTGTTGTAGAAACAAGTGTTTACGTGTAGGGAATTTGAGGGAGGGAAGTTAACAGAGAGAAATGATGAGCCTCAAGGGTCCTTGTTACAATTAGAGCCAAGACTCAGGAATTAAAAATTCCCATTTAGAGAGCGCACATAAATTACATCTTGTTTTAACCAGACAAAGACGTGCACTTGTATGGAACAAAATAGGAATTGTGAAAGGTTTCCTAATAAAAGTGAAAAGCAAGGTGAAACATGCTTATAGTTTCTCTATTTAATTAAGCACTTAGTCAGGTCTGCAAAAAACCTTGCCTTTCCTCTTGAGTCAATGATTAGGCTCCTCCAGGAGAAACTTCTGAGACTACAAAGCTCGCCTGAATTGAAGGGAGGTTCCAAGGCTTAGTTTAGGTATGAAATTAAGAGGTGCTCTACTTTAAGTGGTTTGAGGGTTTCCTGTGAAGAGATTTACTTCACATTCTTTTTTTTTGCATTTGCTGCTGCTCAGCTTACAGGCAGTTTGCACTCCATCTCCCCTTCAAAATTACATGACTTTCAGGATGCTGCCTCTCTGCTTTTTATTTTTCTTTTTCTTATTAATATCCAAAACATAAATGCTCAGAAAAAGTCTCTATCTGTATTTCTATTGCTCTCTCAATTTTATTCAACCTGAGATACGAAACTGTGCAAAGGAAATCCAGGAGTGTGGTATGGTTAAAACTGAAGCTAAAACCTCAGAGCTGTGCTGAAATGGCCCTATAAGGCAAGAAAGATATTTCAGTAAGTTCTTTTCCAAACTATTGATCTAAAAATTTAATGTTTTGCTCATGGTTTTTAATTAATGAAGTTTCTTTTAATTATATAATTTTTAAAGTTTTTTGCATTGGACTTAAAAAGATACATGCACTGAGTTAATTGTATTTAGTAAGAAAATAAGAGATTTTGTAAGACTGTGCAATAAGCCAATATTAAAATTAAAAACATTTGTTATATTACCCTTATGCAAGCAAGTTTTCCTGATGTGAATTTCCACCGGTCAATGTATGTTGCTCTGCTTACCTGAATATTTCTCACAAAACACAAATCACGATGCCACTAACCATGAGTAGTTCTGTGCCAAGCAAAAATTTTAAGTTAGGTTTCTTAGTCACTTAACAATTCTCTTCTTGATTTCTAGTTTCTGGTGTTCTCTTAAGACATATTTTTGCTTCAAAGTAAGACTTGTTGATTGTGGTGTGACAAGAAGCTCAATCTCTAAACTCGCAAAGCTGAAAATTCTTGCTGAGACTAAATAATCTGTATTATGTTTGGTGTGGGAGAGTGGTTTCTTTCCTTTTTTGATTGTTTTTTAACCAGTGCACTAATGGTGTGAAGTAAGTCTGGCTCTTTAAGTAGCCTGTGCAGCCTCTCTAGTTAATAGCTTTAGTAGCGAAGTTTGTAACTGAATTTGGACATGGAGGAGAAAAAATGTTTATATGCCCCATTCTTGCTGAAACTAATTTTTATCATCAAGAAATCATAGTTTTATATTTTTATTTGCACGAAGAAGTTAGATAAAGTCTGCTGTTAGAAGTTTCAAAGCAAAATCACCTCATGCGGAGATGCTCTGGAAGCTCTTTCCTTTGCAAGTCTTTCCTTTTTAAAGAAAACTCTTGTAAAAAATCAGAGATGGGGAGGATGTGGGGGGAGCCTGTGCTGTAGCACAAGGACAGACATGGTAATGCTTGTTTTGCAGAAAAGCTTTATTTAGCTTAGCAGCTTTGTGTAAGGCTTGCTGGCAAATCACCAGCTGTATTTCTTACACACCTACAGAAGGACATGCTTTGCAATGGAAGCTGGGGCAGGCAGGTTGCTATATCTGGGTACCTAGACAGAGATGAGGAACCTGGCAAGTGGTAGGCATCTCTTGGCAAGGGGGTATGATATATGTAGCTTCTTGTCCTCCCCAAGTACATCACCTTAGATGCATCTTTGACTACATAAATATTAGTAAAAAGGGAGCCACCTGAAACAATTTGGAAGTCAAAGGCAGTGAATAGAGAAACAGTAGAAATAAAAAGGACCTGTGCTTAAAGTCATAATTTTATTGCTGTCATGTTCTTCTGTTATTTGTTTTGACTGTAGTCCTTTAGAATAGGAATTACTGTGTTGAGCATAAATTAAGTTCTTGCCAGAAGATTTCCTTAAATTGTTTGAAGTTACCTGGTGCACCTTTCAGAAGCACATCTGAAATATATATGCAGAACTGACTTTTAAAGTCCTAAGTCACTCGTCTCATTCATTTAAATGCTAAAGCTGAAGAACATATAACAAGTCTCAAAAGTGTTTAGGATTCCATGAGACCATAATAAGTTACTTAGATTTTATTTTGTTTTTTCTTGTTCTGAAACTCCAGATTCTTTTTCACGTGTTTTGAGTATTTCTTTGTCAGTGCATTGTTCGCCTTGACAAGTTTTCGTCTCTGTGTGCTGACAGTATATTGCCTGTTACAGCACTGGCTCTCACCATTTTCTTAGCTATGAGACCCACAGCTCCAGTAGTTCATAGGCTTATTTTGAAGGCAGAATTTTTTCTTCTATAGACAGTTTAGGTGTTTTTTTCCTTCTTCTTACTTTTTAGCAAATAAAATATCAATGCTTTCTGAATTTGCATAGTTGTGTGTGGGTTTTTTGTATTGGGGGCATGCTAGATTATTAGAAAAGGGGTCATTTTTTTGTTCCATATATTAAACTTGGAAGAACTGTTCTGATGTTAGAGTGTAAAGTAAGTTAATATTTTCTAAGTCAGCTGTCTGATTTTAAGCCGTGAAATTTGAATTGTACTGAAAAAGTAATTGTAAATATCAATTCTAACCAATGGTAATAAAAGATGCACATCAAGATGATATCATGATTGATGTTTTAAATATAAAAAATAATCATGATAGCTCTGACAGGATCAAAATAGGGTCTGTTAGCAAAAGCAATGTCAGATGCCTGTCAACTGAAGATTGAGCGTACTGTGGTAAATTCCATCAGAGACTACCACAATATTATTTTTCAACTTTCTCTTGTAAAGCGCTGAAGTGCCTTCTGAAAATCATACTTAATCTGCAAAACCTTGAATGAGAAATGTAAGGTCTCTTGCAGCAGTTCATGTGGGATTTTAAAACTGGCTCTGCCTCCAGGAAGAACTGGGACTGGATTACCTACTGAGATGTTTACACCTTGATTATTCTGAGATGTACCCATTTTCCTTGCTCTGAAAGGGCAGCTCCATGATTTTATTCCTGCACTTTTTGTTTCTACTGCTGGATTCATTGTTGAGCCAATGCCAGGCTGTTTTTTGGAGGGCTACCTGGCAATCTCGTTGGTGTGGCCACTTGACTGAAGACTGGGATTTTCCTCTTCTACTATATGCCCTAGAGAGAGAGATCCAACCCACGGACCCCACTGACATGTAAAAGTGGTGAAATGCACCACAAATGCATCTTCTTAGTGCAGAACTAGCACAGGTTGTTTAACTGCTGACCAGGTGATTTATTGAGGACAGACAGCTCGAGAAAGAAAACTTTTAATTCTTAAAATTTGTGCTGCCTCTGCCCTTGCAGTCTGTATTCTTTTATAGCAGACTAGAAGGTAAAGACAATCTGTGCCTTCAGATCTATTTCAACTTTTGAGCCTCCTGCACATCTCTAGGCCTCCTTATGAGTGGTCAAGCAATGGACTATGACATAGTCCCCTTGTTTCCCCTCCTGCTGCTTCTGCTGTTTCCTGACCAAATTGATTCCCTCCAGGCCCTGGCTTTTAGGTATCTATCCTGATTCTTAGAATCACTGGAATGATACGTAGATAATGGTAGAGGAGAAAACTCTGTAGTTACTTTGGTCCAAATGAAACATACTTCATACCCACAGAGCAGCTGTTTCCTCAGAAAGCTGGCCAATGTACTGTGCTATAAATGGTGTTCAGATGATGATGAGTACTGTATTTGTATTGGGGCAACCCTTCTATGGGTTGTGCACTCAGCTAAAGCTCCTCTGCCTTCTCAATAGCAGATGAACTTTTTTGAAGTACATTGCTGTACTTCTGTAACACAATTCAGGTCCCTGGTCACTTGAATATGTTGTTTTGCATGTGTTTTAAAGCAGAAACTATTAATAATCTTGTCCCAAAGTTTTTCTTACATTGTACTTAAACCTGTTTAAGTGGAATCTTTTTCTTGTCTGAGGATTTTGACTTTGGTTCTACATGAGAAATTTTTTTCTTTTTTCTGATTGGATTCTCTCTCTTTTATTTTTTTTTTTTTTAGTTATAATTTGTTAGGGGTTTTTTCCTCTTAGAGGTGATGCCTTCAAGGAAACTGAATACTTAAAATGTTTCTTAGTGGAAAGTAAAATCTCAAATGTACCTAGACTGCTGTTAATAACCACATGTTGTTATTTAACTGAAGTCTTCGATTTACTGAGCTATAACTTTAAAAATATTCTTTTCCTCACAGTATTCAAAAGTGCTCCTGAACCGTCATTCCTCTGTTAATAAAAATAAGCTAGATAGTGTAGGCATTCTGTGAGCCAGCACTCTAAATATTACTTTTAAATTGTGTTAAAAGCTTCCAGTCCTTTGGATATTACATGACAGCTCTTACTTGTAGAGTGCAAAGACCATTTTTCTGCTATGTGCACTCACTAAAATGGTGAATTCTCTGTTTTCTGCAGGCACAACTTCAGGACATGCAAGAGAACTTTGGAGTGAACTGGCAGTAAGCTTTGCAGTACCATGGTGGCAATAATACTGGCTGTCCTCTGGAGATGCTGATGCTCAGCATTATTTTGAACTTCTTTCTTAGACCCTCCAGCTTGTTCACAAAGGACTTAAAACTGATTTGGATTCATATGGTCATGGGTATGGACTTTTTCCTTCCATTACGTGACATCTGCATGTTTCCAGCAGTCGGTGATGAAGTCAGTAATAGGTCTGCTGACATTTGGTCTGTTCTTGGGAGCTCTGAGTGACAGGTATTGTAAACATCCTACACTCTCAGCTGTGGAAACTAAGAAAGCTGGGAGAAGGCTGTTTACTCTCCCTGCCTTGGAAATCGTCTGGAGGGCAAGGACAGAATATTATGTTGATTGTATTTCTGACAGCCTGTATTTCATACTGTACATTATGGTGTCAGTAAACAAATTATGTCATTACGTCACATCATCAATGTCTTGTGTTCAGACCAAGGTCAGAAGGGCCTTATGATATGCTCCAGCTGTACTGCTGGCTTGAGGGAAACTTAAATAGTAGGAACAATACACTGCAGTACTTCCATCCTTAAACAGTGATCAGAAAATACCTGTTTTGTTTATAGGTAGTGATACATAAAAGTTGCAGTGTGGACATCCTCAAATTGACACATCAGTATTGTGTTAAATGAAAATCACCCTTAAATGGTTGGGACTTGTTTTCTAAGATCTACTCAATTCTCATTTTCTACCCAAAAGAGCTAGAAGCAGAGGTTAGAAGGCAAAGACATTGTAGGGGAATTAAAATTTCAGTTTCTTTTCAAAGAAAATCAGAGGTGTCAACATCAACTGCAACTCTAAATTAAATTGGGATACAAAAGTCTTATACCGCATGTTTTCCACTCAGTGCTCCCTACCACTTGCTCCCTAGACTGTATTATACTTTGTGCTTTGTCCTGGCAATCTTTCTCTTCTTCCTTTGTGTTTCTTTCATTCTATATGCTGTAAGACAAGTAGAACTTATCAGTTTAAATGTAGAATAAGCTGAAAAAGTAATTTTCCTTTTAAATCTAATATCCTGCTGGCATGGTCCTAAATACAACTAAAGTGAGATTTGCAACTTTTAAGCAGGGACTCTGGCAGAAAGAATATTGTTTCCCTCTTTTGTTTTTCCTTGTTTATGGGGAAGGGACACCTTTTGTGCGCTCAGAGATCACTGTCTATTTTCTTTTGCAATAGCATTCTTACATCTTGAGATCCTACTGCTTCAGCTTTTTAGAAAAGGTATTTAAATATAAAATCTTTGAAAAAAGGGCTTTTAGGAGAGTTTAGTTTTCAGGGTTTGGAAAGGGATGGGAGTGGGAAAACAACTGGTAAAATACTGTGTAAGGATTTGAAGTAGTATTTACACAAAAGTACAAAAAAGAATTCAAACTTTCATGCAGAACATTAAAAAGTCAGTTATTTGAAGTAATAGGTTTTTTTTGTGCTCTGGCTTGCTTTCCTATTGGAGGAAGCAGTAAGAGGGAAAGCCAGGGTCAAAGTGTTTATTTAGCTTAGCAACCTCACAGCTAAATATTCCATGTCACTTTGCAGCATAATCTAAGGAGACTACAGCTTTTTAGGAGCAGAGGGAATGTGAATGTGTGGGGCCCAGACTCATTGCTAGAGAATCTGATGAGCATGAGAGAGGAGGGCATTGAACCTTAATAATAGATTATTTAGTATCAAGCTGATTCTTGTTGTCCTGAGGCATAAGAAGTTTAGGGCTATTCTTACACCTTTGCTGGGTTTTGGTCATGTTGATAATGTGGAAATGAGATCTGTTGTGTGTGATTTTTTTCCATTCAGGATTTGCAGAAGGGCTGCGTTTGTGTACCGGGGCAGCTGGGGGGAGTTAAATAAATATCCTTATCAGCCTGGAGTAGGGGGTTGTACTAGCAATTCTCTAGGCTGTACTGACATCTGGTGGCAGTTTATATATTTATAAAGTATTATAAACTATATTATATAAATTATACTATAATTATAAATTATATTATAAAGTATTTAAAATACTTTTCATTCAAAGTGGGCCAATTAATTCCTTGTCTGGAATATGCCTGCTTATGTATTTTGGGCTGTTACACCTTATTTTGTAGCTTGTATGTGGTGACTGTTCTTTTCCTACTGTCTTGCTTCTGACTCTCAGAGGCAAAAAGTTTAAAATTGTTGAAACTAATCTTTCTTTCACCTAGTTTAAAAATGTATTGACTTTGTTTTCAGATTTTTTGTAAGTCTTATTAGCAGTTGTTTGGAAAAGGAAACATTATTATTTTATTTTTTTCATTTCCCTTCAGATAGTTGCAGGGCTTATGAAGAAAATGAACGGGATTAGTTTTCCTTCTTTGAAGCTGAAAGGAGAGCTGAAGGAGAACCCTGACATCTACCTCCATTTTTACATCTTCCCCATCAGACAGAGACTCCAGGGCTCCTCTTTACATACCCATATATATATACATGTTTCTGAAGTGCAACACAGAATGTTTAAGATGGGAAAAAACAGAATTCACTGTCATGGACTTGAAGTAATCTTAGAAACATGCCAGGCTTTTTTTTAGAGAAAGTTGGTAGCAAATAGTTGTTACCAGGATCAAAAGGTATTCACTGAAATTGTGTGGCCTTCCAGGAACAGGCAGGTGAGAAAGAAATCTTGGCAATTTTGAGAGAAATTGTTCTTCATGTAGGAGAACAGCAGTAGTGAGAGGTTTGTAGTTTTCATGGTTACCACACAGAGATGGAGACTTAGGAAGGAGGTTCCACCGGACTCTAGCTGAGCTCTAAGGATGCCTGACACTGTGACTGCTCCTTCCCAAGTCCTAATCTCAGTTCTTACTTCAAATTGACACAGTTATTATTACACTGTGGACTAGCTGCTTCTTGAGCGGAGGCTGATCAGTGAAGGAGCTAAGTTGGGAATATCTCCAAATGTAAAGACCACGGAGTCTCCAGGATGCCACCAGGCATAGAAGGAAGAGTTTTAAATAGCTTGCAGTCATCCCTGAGCTTGCTTCTTTTTAAGTTGTTTGTATTCAGAAGGGGGATTCAGCACAAGTATTTTACCCCTCAAGTGGGTCACTGCAGGTGAGTCAGGTAAGCCTCTGTGTAGGCAAGTTAGCCTTCCCTGTGTGCATTACGGATTTTGAGGAAAGTTTTGAGACAGTTTTGAATTTTTGTAAAAGGCAATGTAAGAGGCCTTCCTATATAAATGGTGCATCATTAGTTTTGCTAATGGCATAATATTTATAATGTCCAGTGATATTTGACCATTTTAATGGTGTGTTTGATGCAAAGAATTATTAGAATTTATAGGGTATAATGAGTTCACAGAAGGTAGCATAAAGTCAGCTCATCTTATAAACCTGTAAGGGGGTTAAACCTTACACTATATATATTTTTCTCCCTGTTTGCAGACAAAGTAATTTTTCTTTATTTTATGGTCCTCTTCTGTTTGGTGATATAATTGAGTGGTTCTGGCTATAACAAGTATTCTCCAAAGTGAGCAGTGAGTAATTTGTGCATGTTGGCACCCAATTTATTATCATTACCAGAAATTAAACATTTAACTTGCTACAAAGGAAAGAGAATACGTTTTCTTTTCAGTCCTTCCCTTTTGTGCTTAGTTGTAAAATGAAAGCAAATTAATGACTACACTTTCTTTATAGTGTGGCATTTACTGGGCAACTCAAAGTCTCTTCTTTCCAGGTGATGGCAGGGCAGTGCTTGCATTTTGGGTTGTTAGTTTGTTGATACACTGCATTATTTTAGCAGCTGCTTCTTACATAACTGTCTGTACTACATTTTACAGTCATATCCCACAAGTGTAGGAGAGTGAAGCCAAAGGAGGGAGAGCAGGTTTGAGAACAGGTAAATAACTATGTCACTAACACCTTGCCTCTTGGAGATTGGGGGAAAAAGCTTTTTTTGCAGCACTTAATCCTTACTTTTGTGATAGCTTTGCTGAGCCCACACAAAGCAGGCTAAAATTAGGGGTTTTTTCCTCTTAGAGGTGATGCCTTCAAGGAAACTGAATACTTAAAATGTTTCTTAGTGGAAAGTAAAATCTCAAATGTACCTAGACTGCTGTTAATAACCACATGTTGTTATTTAACTGAAGTCTTCGATTTACTGAGCTATAACTTTAAAAATATTCTTTTCCTCACAGTATTCAAAAGTGCTCCTGAACCGTCATTCCTCTGTTAATAAAAATAAGCTAGATAGTGTAGGCATTCTGTGAGCCAGCACTCTAAATATTACTTTTAAATTGTGTTAAAAGCTTCCAGTCCTTTGGATATTACATGACAGCTCTTACTTGTAGAGTGCAAAGACCATTTTTCTGCTATGTGCACTCACTAAAATGGTGAATTCTCTGTTTTCTGCAGGCACAACTTCAGGACATGCAAGAGAACTTTGGAGTGAACTGGCAGTAAGCTTTGCAGTACCATGGTGGCAATAATACTGGCTGTCCTCTGGAGATGCTGATGCTCAGCATTATTTTGAACTTCTTTCTTAGACCCTCCAGCTTGTTCACAAAGGACTTAAAACTGATTTGGATTCATATGGTCATGGGTATGGCCTTTTGTGCGCTCAGAGATCACTGTCTATTTTCTTTTGCAATAGCATTCTTACATCTTGAGATCCTACTGCTTCAGCTTTTTAGAAAAGGTATTTAAATATAAAATCTTTGAAAAAAGGGCTTTTAGGAGAGTTTAGTTTTCAGGGTTTGGAAAGGGATGGGAGTGGGAAAACAACTGGTAAAATACTGTGTAAGGATTTGAAGTAGTATTTACACAAAAGTACAAAAAAGAATACAAACTTTCGTGCAGAACATTAAAAAGTCAGTTATTTGAAGTAATAGTTTTTTTTGTGCTCTGGCTTGCTTTCCTATTGGAGGAAGCAGTAAGAGGGAAAGCCAGGGTCAAAGTGCTGTGGTGAAGGACTAAGCTGATGAGTAAAAAGAAAGCTTATGATTAATGTAGTAATTTCTAAGAAAAGCAGAGTTAACCCCTGAAAATTATTGTTTTAAGGAGATGTTCAGACTAGTCAGACGATAGGGGGTAGCATTTCCTAATACACATGGTTCCCTTGGCAGAGAGAGATTTCTGGGAATGATGGAGCAGTTACTTCCTCCACTGCATGATAATACTGATTGTAGACTGCTGTCTGGAAAAGACAACCTCCTGAAGGAGATAAATTCCTTAATTTTTGAGATGGGGATTTATATATTATTTTTAGTTAGACATGTTTTAGGTTTGGAGTCATTATTTTGTATCAATTGAAAATATTTCTGTGTATTTAATATTACTTACTTGTGCATTGAATAGTGAAATTCCATCTTCAGTTTCATCAGTGAAAGATGATAAGATGATAAGACTCCAATGCTCCCAACTTTGTCATACATTTTTCCTGGCTTTGTACTGACGTGATTTGTTTAAACTGCAAACTAATTCAGTGACTTGACCCCACTGAAAACTAAATAAGCCAGAACAGCTTTTTATGTGGATCAGCTGCTTACTCCACCACTGTCCTGTGGCCTAAAATGCTACTGAAAGTCCTGGTTCCTTCAAGTATGGCCACTTTCCTGAAGAAGAACAACAACATTTATTTTGAATAGATTATGTAGTCCTAAAACAATAAAAGAGTGAAATTACAGGATTTTGAATATTTTATTTTATATTAAATTATTATGTTGATGCTGTCTGAACACAATTGCAAGCATGTTGCTAAAATAAATTCAGATTAAATTGTTTTATTTAAAATGTTTCATTTTTTGAACACCATTTATGCTTCTCCTTAAAAGATTTGTTGGTAAAGTCTAACTAAATTGTGTTGCTAAAATGGAGCAACTGGTAATTTTGCTATCTCCAGACCTTTAATTTTAAAGGTATCTTCTGATGTACCTGCACCATACTAGCACTACATAAATTGCATCATTTCTAGATCACAGAGGTTTTTTTCCCTCCAAGGTATTGCTTGCCAAGCCAAAGCCAAACATTATGTCCTTTTCTCTTGTTAATCCCAGACTTCAAAGAGTTGAAGGTTCTTTCCAGTCTATCAAGTAAATACAGAGTTTTTCCATTGTGGAAAAAAAATGTAACAGGGCTGTTTCAAAAGCCTGTTGCCAGTAATGAGTTTTGGATTGGGTCCATGGAGAGGTAATCTGGATAGCTACCACCACAAGTCATCTCTGGGAAGTTGCTGATTGTTGGCATGGCCTTTTTTCTTGAAGGGTGGTTCTGCCAAGACGCAAAACTGGCTTGTTCCAAGTGAATCTTGGCGCCACCCTGAACAATATTATTCCTGCCTGTTATGGTGAACATTCTACGTAGATTTTGTTTCTATATTTTTTTTGTTGTTGTTATGAGGAAAAGGACAGTTCTTGTTATCATGTTTCTTTATTTCTAAACTTTGTTTGGTTTTGGTTTGTTTGGATTTTTAAGCTACATTTTTGATTGTGTAGTCCTTCAAGGTAATTGTCAAACATCCATTACATTTGGT